CAAATTAGCCCCTAGACAGCGTGCCTTTATGCTTCTTCTTCTGTGCCTACGTGTATCGGACATTCGCCCGCACCGCCTTTCCCTCCTACGAAGCCAGGGCGGTGAGTCTCAGTGGGACCACAGTCACAAAGCCGGGCTGGAAGTGTCGTTCAGGTTTGCTCAGCCCCACAAGGTTTCACTGAGTGTAGACGCAAAGCCTCCTGCTCTCCTATTTCCCCTTCGACTCATCTCTGTGGAAGAGGCGGCTGCATGTGCAAAGAAGGCCCGCTAGAGAGAGGCAGAGGACTGCGTGTGGACCTGACGGGGAAACGCGTGTCAGCAAACTTTCTGCTTCTTCCGCTGCACGGCACCCACTTCCAGCCAGGAGGATGCTGAGAAACACGTTCTCAGCTCAGTCAGGTGCCTCCTCCGAAGAGCACCGAAGGGGAAAATCTGACTTTTCAGATCCATTCGGCTCCCGCATTCAGACATGTGCCATGCACTCATAGCACGGGCGCTTAACAAGAAGGCTCTCCAGAGCCCAGAACATCATTCAAGCTTTCACATTTAACGTTCCTGGGGGATCTGCGTTAGCACCCAGTGCCAGTTTCTCCGCTGTTATTACTTATTGCCTGGGCCGTGGTAGCACAGCAAACCCTCAGACACGTAGTCCATGCTGCTGAGTACTGTACAAGCATGGGGCAGACAGGCAGGAGGTACTCCTGCGAGAGTTGTAGCACTGCATTCACCAGAGATACGCTGTTAGGCCCATCTCTGTATCACTTCTAAAACTAAATCAGAGTTATAAAACTAACTCTTCTACTAGACATTTTGTTCATTCACCAAATGGGGCCAGCCAGAATTGCTCAGGGACCTGCAGCGGGTGATCGGCTTGCTGGAATGCTTCGTTTTTAGAAGCCGAGCCCCTCAACAACCATTTTGGAGCAACTGAATGAAAACACTGCTGAGAGGGACAGGGAACTATTTCAGTCTTAGCAGCTACTAAATAATCTTGCAACGTGCTTAGTTTAACGAGGAGGCTTCAAGCCATGTCTGGATTTGCAGGGTTGCAGTTTGAGAATCTGGAGCGTAGCTTTAGAGAAGGTTTGAAATAGGCTGTATCAATGCTACCATGTCCAATAGTCCTGTACACACGGCGAGAGATTTAACTGGAGCTTGGCCTGTGTTCTGGCTCCACTTTGAGGGTGTATTGCACATGGAAATAGCACCTTTCCAGAGGAAGCCATTCTTCATCCAGAAGGATGAGTCTCCTGCGCAACAGTTTGCAGACAAGTGTTTCCACTGGGCTGGCATTGTCCTATGCTGAATTGAACAAAAGACCTAGAAGAGGAAAAATGCCCGTGACCTAAACAAAATCTTAATCAAGGGTCATTATCAGTGCAAGAGCGCTTGATCGTTAAAGCTTGGTAATATCTACAAAGCCCTGTCCGGGCAGGGCAGGCAGCCCTTTGAAGCCGGTGTGGGAACTAGAGGCAGCACTATGATTTTTAAAGTGCCTTTCATCTCTCTCTTTGGTAAGGACATTCTTAGAAACCAGCTTGTCAAATGCCATTTACCTACATAGGCCTGAAGTGCTGAGCAAGGCTGGTCTTCCCCAGGATTTGCCCCAGTGGCTGTTCTGTGGGGACACGTGAGTTTGATTAACTCGGTGGGTTTATGTATAGATATGGTTTAAATACCATCGGGGTATTTACAGAATGCCAGCACCTTCAAGATGGGTGGGATCTCCCCTTTACCACCTGACTGCCATATAATACTGGACCATTGATGGTTTGATTACCTTTCACTTCAAAGCCTTTACAGTCTGCATGCAGAAACATGTAGCCAGCTCTGGACCGAGGGTGGCAAATAGGAAAGTGCTAGTGAAGTAAGAGCAAAGGGCTGGTTCCTTGTGTGTAGGACAAACCATAGGCAACAATGACCCCCACTACCTCTCAGGCTGTTCTCATTTGGATGGGGCAGCACAGTTGTGTTTCCCTTTCACTGTTCCAGTCCTGACAACTTCGCTCAGCTCTGTACAACGCTTGAGAAATGTCCCTGCCTCGAAGATCTCACCGATGCAAACAGGAGTTGGTGTTTCTCTTACACTTCAAATTAACATGGCTGGGCTCAGGAGTCTGAGCACTGGCGACAGCTTTTGTGGAGACCCTTTTCCCCACTGCAGGCTGGGTTACAGTTCCCATTTGTCTGCAAAGGATCGCACAAACAACTTTGTGCTTAAAATGCCTGGCAGTCGGTGAATGCATTTCCAGGGGGCTTTCTTTGTAGCTACGTGCAGCCACTTGACACTTCCCTCCCAAGTCTGTTTGGGCCAGAGAGGGGGAAACACCCACGAACGCTATTCTGACTTGTTAGGAACTTCCAGTTATCAGGGCTCTTTGCATATTGAAGTGTTTATGTAATAACTGTGTAATATGTAATAGACTGGTGCATCATCTATTACACTATCTAATAACGAAACTATGAAAGTATACCATATCTATACATTATTTAAACACTTAAATATTTAAGTATTTAAATGCAACAGAAACAGCGGTCGCCATTTTTACTTTTGGGGGGTGAAAGTTCACTTAGCCTCAAACTGAAAATGAAAGACACTGTGAAATTATTAACCCCCTTTCAGACTTCAATAGCTTTTCGCCTTGTTTATACAGACAAGCTTTCCCATGTGCCCTGTTTAGTGTGTGAATTATTCTTCCACCCCCATGCATCGTTTCCCCCCTATATTTTCTGTTATCGAAACCATGCACTCTCAAGCACTCTTAGCTCTCACACCAATTTGCCAGAGCTCTCCTACAAATTGGCATTTTTGGTAAAAGGGATCATTTTTCCAGTGGAAGATTTAAGGGAGGGGGGGAAGACTTGAAGCAGCCATATAAGAAGCTCTTAAAACAGTCTTCCCGACTTGTCCCATTTTAGACCAGATCTAGTGGGGACCACTTATGACCTCACTGTGCCCACAGGTCAATGAGAAACCCAGTAATACAGTTCCCATGGCAGGATCAGAGCTTCACACAGTAATCCTCTCTGATGCTCTACACTTAGGTAAAACCTCCAGTGAAGACACCAGGAGTGTTGAATCCAGGATTCATTTCCAATTTCCACTGAAATCAGCGGCATTCTTTTTTACTGACCCTAACAGGACTGGACTGAGTTCGGCAAAAAAACAGGGTCATTGTTTTATTCAGAGACATACAATTTTCATGCACATATTAATTGTCAATGAGGAGCACGCACTGGGCCACGTGGCCAGCACAGAGTTGTAACAACTTGCAGCAAAAAAAAAAAAAAAAGACCCTAATTCCAGTTTTAGTAAAATCTAGATGCCTGCGAGCATCATTTATTGCAAATCAGTTAACCAAAAAAATACATCATATTTGCAAACTACAACTTTGCCGGTAGATACATTTATTACAGAGGGTTTCTTTTCTGTAAACTACACTCTAGTTTATAAAACATAGGAAGACTCAACGCCACGTGATGTTTAAATCACCCGCATTAGGGATGTCACAATAACAATGCTCCAAAATGCTTCTGTACTAAGAGATGAATGCATACGGGACTGCAGCGAGCCTTGTGCTTGGGGGAACTGAAATCCAACGTGGCCTTCTGAGCAACAGAGAGGAGGAACGTTTCCCTTTTCTTAGGTTTCCTGGGTCGACTGCATTTTAGTCCAGCGGATGGATAGCCTACACGGGAACATGTTCATAGTGTGTTTGGTTTCCTTTTGCAGAGAGCCAGAGAGAGAGAGCGATATCCTGACACCTCTAATCAGCGCAATATACTTAAGACTTGTTCATTTAGATTTTTGAAACAAAATCCACCTTTTTTTTAAAAAAAAAACAAACTTATTTACAAACATTAACTCTGCCACAGGCTTATACTATATGTTACACAGCCCTCTCCCGTCTCCACAAGAGTGTACATCAACATGAACAAGATGCCTCACTCCAAACTAGCAAGAACAACGTGTCAACGTTTCAAAAAACCCAGGCCCAACCACCCAGGATCTGCTTGCGTCTCTCGCCCTCCTGTGAATAATCAGGGCTACACCCAAGCCTGACACCCCTTAACTGGAAAACCTGGAAGATCAGGGTTTCCAAAGGAACTTGGATGTCAAGGATGAGCACTATCCCACGGCCGGGTGCTGTAGTGCTCAGTTACTTGTTGCTCGAATTGGTCTATAGTAACTGAAATGCCCCCTTTAAAGTAGGAGGTGCCATCCTTAAAATAAGGATGCGATTCGGAAAGGCCAAATCCTGCCTTTTTTTTATTGTTGTTCAATCAGTTGAAAATAGAAAAATAACTCAGTATAAGACATTCAAGGGAAAATTAAGTTTGTTCTTCTGCATTGACTCAGTAACTGTGGACTTGCTTTTTCAACAGGTTTGGCAAATATTCCATTCCTTTAGGCAGCAGTAAGTTTATGAAGAGTTTTTAGCTTAGACCCTGTTATCACAGGTCTGTAATCCTGATATTTAGATTATAGACAGTATTTAAATATATATATGTATTTATAAAAGAAAGAACAAGAACCCCTATGTATTAAGACAAATGTACAACTATATAATACTGAAACTTTAAACAAAGATTCATGACTGGTACCGTAAAATGTTCTCTCAGTTAAAAGCCAAGGGAACATTTTAAAGTATTAAAAAAAAAAACAGTTTATACTTAATTTATATTTATTTCAAGGGGTGGCATTTTTACCTAATATTCCCCACTCTTTTCCCCCCAACATAACTTTCTGGATTTGAAAGGAAAAAGAAAATAAATAAATGGCATTTCATAATCACGAATCATTGCTTATAGCTTTACATAAACGTCCAGCCAACTTATTAATGCTCCCCACCCCCCAAAAACAATCTAAAAAAATCTAATGTTCTTGAATTTTTTGAGCACAAGTGAAGTGTCCCATCTTGAGTTAACAATAGAACATATAAATAAAAAGGCAGTGTTTTCATGTAAAATAAAATGTACATAAATAAATACTAAAAAAAAACATTAAACTTTGTTTCTTTATTTTGTATAAAAACATATAAAAAGGATCCTTCTGTCAAAGCATCCGATGTCCCTAGGCATTTTTTATTTTTTTGAAATCTTTTTCAAAGTTCCCCGTCTCACCGCGTGTCATTGTCTTTGGGACACGCTCTTCACTTGAAGGCCTCTGGGATGTGTCCCATTTGTGACTGCATACTCGTGGGAGGACTGGAAATCCCCTCTGACCAATCAGAGACGTTGGAATGAGGCGACGAGCTCGACCATTGGTCCGGTGACTCGGGGGAAGGTGTTAAAAAAGGATGGTCGGGTACCTGCAGCTGGTGATTGGGCGTATTGTCCAACGGGGAGGAGTAACTGTGTTGGGAGGGCGGCGTTAAAAACTGGGTGGTGGTCATGGACTGCGTGAGGGTGGATGGGAGAGACGTGGACAGCATCTGGGTCTCCTGCGGCAAGATGGTGTGCACTGCCATGGAGCCGCTGCTCACCGGCTGCATGTCTGACTGGTTCAACTCGCTGCCCAGGAAGTTCTGGCCCAGGTGGCCGCTGGCGTTCGAGGTGGCGCCGTGATGCTGCTGTTGCGACGGCGGCGGCGGCGGCGGCGGCCCCTGTGGCGGCTGCATGTTTTGCTGTTGCAGCTGCTGCTGTAAATTCTGCTGCTGCTGCATCTGTTGCAACTGCTGGGGCTGCATCAGATGAGGCTGGGAGGCCAGCCGGGTGTTTGGCATAGCCTGGTAGCTCATCATTTGCGACAAGGTCGTGGTGGGCATGCCGTTATGCAGGGAGGTCATCATGCCATGCTGAAGGCCTTGGTTCTGCTGATGGGTCGCCGGCTGCATGTTGTTTCTCATTGGGTTATACTGGTTCTGGACCATGCCGTTCTGCAACCTTGACAGCCAGTCGCACTGCCCATTGAGGCTGGCAGCTCCGCTGACGGAAAAATTCATAGGGGTGCTACTCATCACCGTGCTTGGGCTGGAAACAGGGAGGTGGGAGAGGCGTGGAGGCACTGAATCAAAGGCCATCCTGCTGGTGCCGCCCATGGCCATGTCCTGCTTCCCGGCCATGTTGAGATGATTGATGCTCATGTGGGCATCAGGCATGCCCGGCAGGTGATTCAGAGGCATGGATGGCGACTGCTGAAATGGAGAGGTCATCAGCGGGGGAGAAGCTACGTCAGACAGGTACCCATGAGGTGACTCCAGGGAGTCCACCGGTGACAGCACGCTGGAGCTATCCAGGAGGCAGCCTTTTCCATCTTGTGATTTCTTCCTCCTGGCCTTGATGTCTTTGGAATCCTTGCCGTTGCAGCTCAGGCCCTTGGTGCTTGGTTTCCTAGCTTTCTTCCCCTGCACAGCGGGTTTCAAGTTGCCGATGTAGCTGTTGGGAGAGCAGAGTGGAGGGGACAGGGTGGGGGCGCCCAGCGGCCCACTGTGCAGTGGCGGGCTCCGTACCAGGTTGTACTCATCCAGCAGCCGCACGATGTCGTGGTGCATGCGCTCCTGCGCGATGTCCCGAGGGAGCCGGTCCATGTGGTCCGTGATATCGCGGTTTGCAAAGTGGTCCAAGAGGACTTTGGCCGTTTCGTAGCTCCCCTCCCTGGCCGCAAGGAACAACGGCGTCTCCTCCTGGAAATGTGGCAAGCATGGTTTGTTTTGAAATGCCTGAGCTTACTGGTTTCCTGTATAAGCACAGCCCTCACATTCCTAGTTAGATCTGTAGACACTGGTACTAACTAGGAAGCTCAGTAGCTGCCTAAGCAATTGCTAGGCTCAGCAGATTGACCCCAAGCAAAGGCAAAGGGCAGGGGCAGACTAGCAAGCACCCTGCGTGGCTCTAGTTTGAAGGACACAAGCTGCAAAAGGGGCACCTGGAAGATGAGGCAAGGATCTGGGATGTGGGTCATGCCCTGGCCTGGCGTGTATTGGCTACTCTTTTTCTGGTTAGGTTCAGAGCAAGACTTTGAGGAAAGCCTCTGTGTTTCAATTCTGTGGAATTGTTTCCTGCATCTCACGCACAGTCAAGCTCTCACTGCCTGTTGGGAGGTAAGCAAGTTCCCATTTATGGCTTACCCCATATCTGCCACTGCATGGATCTCACTACCTAATGGACCAGCTCTTGGGCTGCTGCTTCAACTCAACTCCCATTAACTTCACAAGGCGTAAAAACCAGGTATGCATCAGAGCATCTGGAAGTCAGCCTTCTGTCTTAGGAAAAAAATCACCTCCCAATGACTTGCCTGAGGAAGCACCGCATCTGCCCACCCAGACCACCTACCTTATTGTTCTGCATGTCTTTATTGGCACCGTTCTTCAGCAGCACTATTGCAGCTTCAACATTATTCACAGCAGCTGCCCAGTGCAGTGCTGATTTGCCTGTGGAGGAAGCAGGTGAAAGACAGCATGCATTAGTGAGGGGTTAAAACACCAGCTACAAGTCCCTGACATCAATCCCTGACAGAGGGTCTCATGTTCTGGATTAAAGCAGTACCTAGGTCGTCCACGGCATTGACGTCTGCATGGCAATTGATGAGATCCTCCAACATGCCCTCCACAGCCAGGCGGGCAGCCAGGATCAGAGGGGTGGTCCCATCGTGCATGCGGGCATCCAGATCAGTAGCTCTGTTTCTAATCAGAATCTGTGTGCACAGAGAAGACGACCATGCGTTAGGTGAGAAAGCTGGTCTTCCCCAGCCCCCAAACCTCCAGCCCCTTTGCTGGGATCCTCGGTGAGCTCCAGGGCTGACAGGGCCAGCACTACCCTTCCTGTGCCTATAGCCGGCC